GATTGATTCAGATCATTGTCCTTAGAGTCTTCAAATTGAAGTTAGTTAATCCCAATAATGTTTGTGTTTTTCATCTGCTTCATGGAATCAAAATAAAGCTTTTGGAAGTTCACTCTTTGAAGGGAACATTATTGTAATAAAGTTATTGTAAATAAAGTTTGATATTAGAGATATTTATAGTTTTAAAGTTAGTTGTATTTATGGTGATAATGACAAAAACAAAATTTGGTAGGAACAAGTATTGTGGTCAAAGAATGTTTTTACTAAAATAAGAGCCTGTGAGGCATAAGTCTGTTACACACACATGATTATAATTTTATTCAAACAAGCTAAAACATTTTACTAACCAAAACAGAAGCTGTCATTATCAAAATTTACAAATACTTGCACTTTATCACGGTTGCAGTATTTGAGCTACAACATTTTCTTTTGTATCTTTTTTTGTAAAAGGATGATGCTTTCTCTCTTCACTGCCAACTATGGGCCAGAGTTGAGTTATGCTTGAGGCTTTGAAGAATGACTTTGTAAACTAACCTTTGTGTTCCACAAGGGCATTGAATTTTCTATTTATGTTTCTGATAAATTTGGGTTATAGTTTGTTTAAAATCAACTGGAAGTTTTTAATTATCGTATTCAAAGGATGACACATGAAAATCTTCAGCTTTTAAAGTTTTTGGTGAATTGTAATTATTGAGAGAAAAGCTTGCCTGGGAAGGCATTAGAATTCACCTTTATAAAAAGTGAGAGAAAAACAGAACAAATTAAACAATGAGAATTCAAACTATATTTAAAATTTGATTTTGAGTTACTATAATTGCACCTTGGACTATATTGAATTGCAGGAAGAACTTTTTGATGAAGTTTTTACTTTAACTGTAAATCTATATTCTGTATGGAAAGAAGGTCTTTGATTTGCAGCTCCTACCTTTGGTGAAACCTTGAAAATAATCATAGAGACAATGTATTTAATGAGTTTTACCTTGTAGAAATAGTTGTTGAAAAATAGAGGCAAACAACAAGTCTTTAAAAAATACTAGGGTTGAAATATTTACACACTTAAAAATGGACAACGCATTCCTTTTTTTTTTTTTTTGAGATGGAGTCTCACTCTGTTGTCTGTTGCCCACGCTGGAGTGCAGTGGTGCCATCTTGGCTCAGTGCAACCTTTGGCTCCCTGGTTCAAGCGATTCTCCTGCCTCAGCCTCCCAAGTAGCTGGGATTACAAGCATATGCCTGGCTGACAAAACATTCTTTACATCTAAGAACAGGGTGTCAGTGGAAGTGCTGAGAGGGGAGGTAAATTCACATTTTTAATGTATCTCATGTGAGGACAAAATATTATCCTTTCCCCAAGGCACTGACTGTTTTTTCCAGGGGATCCTGCCATACTGGGGACTCAGTGTTAGCCTCTGAGTTTGGGGGGTTGGGTACCCTGGAGTCGTGGTGGCCAGATCAGACATGGTGAAGGAAGATCATGCTGTTGAGCGTGCACAGCCTCCACGGAGCAGGCCCTGGAGTGGCTGACTGACAGGCTTTGAATGGGCTTTCTTTTCCACCTGGCTACTAGGACACTCCTTTGTCAGGAGTGTCTCTGGCCAATATATACATAAGCCATAAACATCTTTGGGTTCCATGCTCATTTTAAAAGAACCACCTATGTGTCTCTATCCCAGACGTCCTTGTCACTAATTTTTCAATTCTTTCCAAGTCTGTGAGCAAGCAGCCAAGCCATTAGCTGTTGCCTGCGAGTCATTACAGATTTGTATCCCAGGCCATTTCTCCTTCTGCATGAAGAGGAAGACTAGATGTACCACTTGAAGTTCTGCCCACCAGGATAATTTGCCTTCATCACTGCCTTTCAGGGCCATCTTTAAAAGTGTAGTGCTAAAGGCATCCACATCTGGCTCACGCCTGCACACCATGAGGATTCATTTGTAGATAAGGCCTGTTGTTTATATTTTCCTGCTAACTGGATATAGGGCACTCGCCCTGAGGTCACTGGTGTGGGTAAGGGTGAGGTGGTGGAGCAGTGGCTGCTGGAGTCGGGGCAGTGAGAGGCAGCTGTTGGTGCAGTTTGTGCATGCTTTCTGGATCTTCTATATACCACTTCCAATTTGTCATGGAATGTTGCTGTACATGTCTGACTTGGTGGTTTGGTGAATTTAATTCATGCTGGACAGTTGGGTTGCACTGTCAAGTTGGTATCCCCTGGTGAAGCGTAAAGCCTCTATCAGGTCCCAGTAGCCAGACATCAGCTGCTTTTAGTATGGAGAATAGTTGTCAGCAGAGGAGAGCATTTGGGGCTTGTCAGCCACCCCAGTGGAGCTCCGCAGACACTCTCCATACCATTGGGTCTGTTGGTAATAAGGTTTAAGTGGCAGGGCAGCTTGCACCACAGTATCAACCTGCTGAAGAATCCTCTTTTGATTTCTGCTAGACTCTAAACTGTCAGCCTTATGGTTTTCCTGGCAAATGAACTGTAATCGCACATACTCATACTTGCCATATATTGCTTCCCCAAACAAAAGAGGGCCACCAAGCATCGTGCCTTCTTTGTGGAAGTTAGTGCAAAGTGCAGCAACCTGGCTCTTACTTTAGAGGGAAGTCCTGCCACACTGCACTCCACTGGACCCCTAGAAACTTCACTATTACAGGCCCACGTGAAGTTCCACAGGGATTATCTCCTGACCTCTGGCATGCACATGTCTCCTTAGGCATCTAGGATCCTTAATATGATCTGATCATAAGACCAATTAGTATAATGTTGTCAATATAATGGACCAGCATGATGCTCTGTGAGGTATCAAGTTCATCACACTCTCTCCAAGCTGTGTAGATATAAAAGCTGATTTAGTCCTGAGGATCAGGGGTCAGGTAATAGTAAATGTTGGCCCTGACAGTAAAGATGCTACAAATTAAACTGCAGCTTTGATTGTCATTATCATCATCAGATTTTGTTTTTGATAATCTGTGGTCATTCTTTATAACCCAACTGACCTTTGTTTTAGGCAAAACTGTGATAAATTAGGGATGTGATGGGAACCACCATTGCTTTGTCTCTCGGGGTTTTGATGGTGGCACTAATCTCTCGGTCCCTCCAGATATGTATTTTGCCTTTGCTTTTCTACCTTGGCTGAGAGTGAGCACTGGGGAGAGGAGGATAGTTGCTGGGGTTTCCACTTGATTCTTCCTACTGTAATTTAGCCTTCACTCAACAGGTTAGGAAATGAGTGTAGAGATTTTGCTAGTTACTCTGTTATACCTATTTCTGCTGCACAATACATCTGGATTTGGGGATGGAGCTACCAGATAGGTCCACAGCCCCATTGGTCCTACAGTTACATGGACCTGGGTCACAGTTGTTTCCAACACTGACTTTCATTAGGCCCTGCTCTAACAGGTGCCCTACACTGGGATTTTAGATTTCTGTGTAGCCAATGTGTATATAACCAGTGAAATCTAAATAAGGTTTATGGATCGTACCAATGTTGATTTCTTGACTACACTATCGTACTACAGTGGTGTAAGATTTCAGCATTGGGAGCAGGGGAGTTGTGGGCAGAGCTTCCCTGTAGGTTTCTCTGTAATCTTGTGAATCTACAATTATTTAAAAGAAAAGAAAAGGTTAACAGGTGTAAAAGTGTTTATTTTGCTAGGCTGTTGAGAGGATTAGAGTAAAATGCATGTAGTATTATAATGTCTAGCACAGAGTAGGTTTTTAATCCATTATATTCACACAAACACAGACACACACACACCTCTGAATGCTTGACATTCCTAGCCTCCTACCAGCGAGGCACGAGCTTTGAGTTGTTTGTGCATTGGCTGTATTGTACATGCCTCACACTGTATTCTTATTTTCCCTTTTGAACCAGGGCACCACTGGTAAAGCAGCTGTCTGAGATAATGCCTACATCGTTGGTCTCTGGCCCAGGGAGCTCCCTGGCTACTCTGGGGTGTGCTAGTAGCCACAGACTCACTCCACAGTACCTGGGCTGAGTGAGATCCAGCTGGTCAGCCTCACCCATGGTGGTGAGGGTGGTGGTAGAGGTGACAGTGGGAAGAGTCAGGTTTAGAAATAGAGGCTCCTGAGATGAGGATGCTGAGAAGAAGGCCAGGGGGCGATTGGAAACTCCACCCTGGCCGCACCTCACGGAACTGTGGCTCTGGCCACTCATGGGCAGTTCTGCTGCAAAAGATGGGCCGCTGCTCATCTTCCTACTGACGCTTGTTGAAGAGCTTGGGCACGATGTCTAAATATGTAATTAAAGTTAATCTTGTTACCATTACCTTATTCATTACAGTGATTTTCTGGTGGCTTTTATGGATCATTGTAAAACTGGTTTTGAATGAAATATGTCTCCTCACTTTTTCCGTCTTAATTTTTAAGACTGCCTATGTTCTTTGGTTGCTAAGTAACATGCCTATAATGTGTTATCACAGTGGCTCTATCTGAATAATTTCAGTAATCGCTTAGGAGATTGCTTTAATAGTATATCATCTTACATGGGAAGAAATGACTAATTCTAGGCTGTTTGGAGAAAACTAACTGAAGCATTTCCTCAAAGACAGGAGGTTTGTCAGCCAAGGAACTTAAAGACAGAGCACATAACCTCTAACTCAGGGCAGTTCTTTTTCAGAAGTTTCCCCCCTGCCTCAGTGTCTCCAGATAGAACACACCTGCTCCAGGGACTTCGAAAGTTTTAAAGAACCAAAGGACCCAGAAGAGGAGATTTTAAACAAGGAATATTTGAGAATATTAAGGAACATTTTGTTGTCATGACTGGGAAAATTGCATTTATTACAACCCCATAAATACAGATGTGAAATGCAGAAGTAAGGCAGTGTTGGTCTTGTGAAAGCTGGGCAGAAACACGAGCAGAATTAACTATGGAGCTATCATTACGGTTAACCCATGGGAGCCCCTGGATCTGAGAGCAATCAGCGACACTGCAGATGCAGCTCTCTGAAGCTGAGTTTTCTTCTTCCTCCTAGATGAGCATCCTGGAAGAGGAAGCCAGGAGCTCAGAAATGTGTTCATCTCAGCTGGAGACCAACAGGACTAAGACTGTGAATTTGAGCCCCAAACGGAGGCAAAGTGAGTGTTGTTCTCATGTCCAGACCCTACCCCAACCCTGACCATGTCATGGAAGTCTACAGTCTGGTTCGGGTGTACAAATGGCACAAGACACATTCAGATTTCTCTTATTCTGCAGAAATGTCTCCCTCAGTCTTCTCTTCTCACTTCTTGACTGGCTGTTTTCCCTACTTTAGCACCAAACTTTCACTGTCTCCACGGTCTCACCTCTCATTCTCTTTTCATCCAGTTGTCATCTGGATCACCACCCTCCTTCCCAACTAATGACTAAACTGCTCTTCTTAACGTCAATCTGATGTCCCTAATGCCAGCTTCCCCCGCCTACCTTCAACCCTCCACCTGATGGGTATCTCTGCTGCACCTGCTGTGGGGCACTGGCCTGCCCCTGCTTCTTCTCTCTTGGTCTTTCTGCAACTCCATTTCCTACTTCTCCTCCTATTTCTCTCCATGTTTCTTCTTGGTCTCCTTTGCTGCCTCCTCTTTGTCTTTCTACTCTGTGATTATTGGTGTTCTGAAGGATTCATTCCTTAGCCCTTCCTCTCTTTGCCTCTGTCCTGGTCACTCTTCCCTGACAAATCCAGAACCATCTTATTTGTGGTACTTTGTGCCACATGCCATACAGAGATGAATAAAACATGATTCCTGACCTCACAGCACACACTAGATCTACAGGGAAAGATAGGCAATGAAATAAGGAAAAGTAATAAAATGTTAGTGATTCCATGGTACAAGTTTGGATGATATGATGGGGGCAAAAATTCATTCTACATGAAGACAAAGAACAGGCAGAACAATGCCCTACTAGAGAACTTACCATGTAGCATAATAGAAGGGAAGGGTTTTCAGGTCTAAGGCATGCATAATAATGCACACAGAAAATGAATAAACACAAGTGTGTGTGTGTGTGTGTGTGTGTGTGCATTTCTGGGCGGAGGATGGAGTGTGCAAGGAGGGCTTGGGGTAGCTGAGGCAGAATGGAGGAGACATCTAAGTGTCTTGGGGCAGTGCTATTTCCCAATTACATAAAAATATTTCTTTATTTTAATATCCTGTACAGCCATACAGGAACATTGCTGCCTTCCTCCTTGGACTGGGAATTCCATGAGGACAGACTACATCTTAATCATTTCTGTGATCCTAGCTCTTAGTATAGTACTCTGTTTATAGTGAGTGACTGATGTTTTGTGAACTAAATAGAGTGCAGTTAACGGCTTAGTAAAACCCTTCACCTCTATTCAGAAAAGCAACTCAACTCACAAGAGTACATTGGCAAATGAGTCATGTAGAATAGGTTTGGCTGTGATAACAAATAATCCCAAATCTTAGTGGTTTATTACACAGAGGCTTATTTCCCACACATATGACTTGTCCATCGCAAGACATCTGGGGGCTCTGCTACATATCTCCTCTCTCAGGGACCCAGGCTGATGAAATAACCACCATCTGAAACAGGTGGTCAACACTGCAGAGGAAAAAAAGAGAATGTGACAAATTGTGCGCTAACTCTTAAAGCATATGCTGGAAAATGAAATGTCACTTTGCTTACATTTCATTGACCAAAGCAAGCCTTATTTGATGCCACATTTTCTTTTATGAAAGACGGTCTTCATAGGTGCAACATGATTGCTAGCTGTGGGCCCCATGCTTTGCTAGGGTCTGTCGGGGAAACAGGGATAAGGGAGTGCCCCTGCTCTTTGGAGGATCACACTATAGTGAGGAAGATGGGTATATAAACAGATGTACTGTAATAGGTCTTGCAGGGGGAATGAGCTTTTAATGGACTGTAAAAAGATTTCTCTCTCTCTTTCTTTCCCCTTCCTTCCTTCCTTCCTTCCTTCCTTCCTTCCTTCCTTCCCCTCCTTCTGATTCTTCTTCTTTTTCTTCCTTCTCCTTCCCCTCCTCCTCCTCCTCCTCCTCCTCCTCCTTCTTCTTCGAGGCTGATCAGAGCTGATTGCCACCTCTAGGTTAACTCCTGGGCTCAAGTCATCTTCCCGCATCAGCCTCTTGAGTAGCTAGGATCACAGGTGGATGCCACCATGCCTAGTTAATTTTTAAATATTTTATTATTATTTAGAGAGGATCTTGTTATGTAGGCCAGGCTGGTCTTGAACTCCTGGGCTCAAGTGATCCTCCCTCCTTCGCCTCCCCAAGTGCTAGGATTACAGATGTGAGTAGCCACACCCTGCCAAAGAGGGAGTTTCTGCCATAAACTCCACGGGGGTTCAATTTCATGCCAGCTTACCAGCCCCTCATATGGATAGCATACAGGCTTGAGATCTGTGAACCTCTATATCCAACATATATTTTTACATTTGTACTATCAAGCATTGTTGGGACTATCTGTTATGTCTCAGTGTCTCCTCTCACCCTCCAGCTAGAGAACAAGGACACCAGGACAAACAGACACAATTCCATTAGGTAGCACTGGTCTCTGTCACCTCAGTGCCTAGCAGTGGTGGTAGAAGGTGGTACTTAATATGAGGACGTACTTGGCACATAATGAATGAATGAGCAGATGAATGAATGAATAAATGAATGGCCATTCTTATATTAAGTACCATTCTTGTAGCTTCTCATTTCTTGTTCTTCCAGGAGTCTTCACTCAGTTCCTGGGTACACACCTCTCAGTTTGGACATAGATTTCATTGCCTGTTTTCTCGCTTTTCCTCTGCCTTTGTTCTTAGCACATGGCTTCTGACAAATGGCATTACGGTGACCCTTGTCATTGCAGCTTCTGTTTGTCTTCCAGGGTTTCTCCACCTCTCACACTCTCTCGCCCCCTCTGAATTGAGGCCTGATTCACGCTGCAGTGTTCATTCTAAGGAGCAAGAAGCAGCTGGAAAATCCACACTGTTTTCTATGTTTGCTGTGGGTACTGAGTGGAATAGCACTCCCCCAAAATTCATGCCTAGCCAGGATCTCAGAATGTGACCTGATTTGGGGATTTGAAATCAGAATGTCAAAGAGACATCTGCGCTCCCATGCTTTTTGCAGCCCTCTTCACAATAGCCAAGACGTGAAATCAATCTAAGTGTCCGTCAATGGATGAATGGATAAAGAAAATATGGTGTATAGACATAGTAGAATGATAGTCTTAAAGAAGAGGGAAATTCTGTCACTTGTCACAACATAGATGGACTTGGAGGACCTTATGCTAAATGAAATAAACCAGGTAGAGAACAACAAATGCTGCATGTTCTTACTTATTTATGGAATCTAAAACGGTTGAGCTTATAGAAGCAGAGGGTAGAATGGTGGTTCCCAGAGACTGCAGGTTGTTCAGGAGAGTGTGGAGATGCTGATCAAAGGCTACAAAGTTTCGGCTAGAGAGGAGGAATAAGTTTAAGAGGTATATTGGTCGGCGTGGTGGCTCACGCCTATAATCCCAGTACTTTGGAAGGCCGAGGTGGGCGGATCACGAGGTCAGGAGATCGAGACCATCCTGGCTAACACAGTGAAACCCCGTCTCTACTAAAAATGCAAAAAATTAGCCAGGCGTGGCGGTGGGCGCCTGTAGTCCCAGCTACTCGGGAGGCTGAGGCAGGAGAATGGCATGAACCCGGGAGGCGGAGCTTGCAGTGAGCCGAGATCACACCACTGCACTCCAGCCTGGGCGACAGAGCGAGACTCCGTCTCAAAAAAAAAAAGGTCTATTGCACAGCATTGTGGCTGTAGTTAATAATAATGTATATTTCAAACTTGCTAAAAGTAAATTTCAAATGTTCTCACTACAAAAAATGAATATCTGAGGTTATGAATATGTGAACTGCTTGACTTAATCATTCCACATTGTATACCAGTATTATAACATCATATTGTACTCCATTAGTATATTATAAAATTATAATTTGTCAATTTACAAGGACTAAAAAAGAAATGTGACCTTATTTGGAAATGGGGTCTTTGTAGGTCAGATGTAATGAGTTAAGACAAAGTCATACTACAGGAGGATAGACTGTAATTCAATGACTGGTGTCCTTATAGGAAGATAAAATAGGAACACAGACACACAGACAGACAGACAGACACACACACACCCCACCCCATCACCACCAGCAACCATCAGAAGTAGGAAGGGGAATGGAAGCTGTCCTTAGAGCCATTAGGGAGAGCCTGGCCTCTGGAATGTGAGAGGGCACATTTCTGTGGTTTTAAGCCACTCAGTTTGTGGTAATTTGTTAAAGCAGGCCCAGGAGGCGAAGCCATGTTGCTCTTGTCTGGTTTTGCACTGGTAAATGAAGAAGCAGCTTCTTTTCCCCATCGGTCTTCCCAGTCCTGGCACCTGGGCAGGTGCTCCAGCCTCTGAGCTTTTGCAAACTGAGAGGGCGAGGCAAGCGGCTTTGCGGTAGTCTTCCCAAAGGTCCTCAATCCAAACACCCATTCCCTGTGGGCTCTGCTTCCTCATAATGGCCAAGTTGTCTTCGTGGTGCTCAGGTATGATCGGATGAGAGCTAAAGGAAAGGCAAGGAAGAAATCTCCCTAGGTCTTTAGAGGTGGGGGCCAAGAAGGAAGGGTCAAATGGGAACTCTGTCTTCCAGCCTTGCTCTCTGGGGCCCTGAGAAGGTGGTTAGTGAAATGGTCAAGGAAGTCATAATAAATGTCCTTGTCCTACAAGTTCTGTCATTCTCACGGCTCAGGTCTTCTTTCTTGTTCTCTACCACCCCCACCCCTCTCCCAGCTACCACAACTCCCCAAATGTAGAATTAGTTCACTCCTATAAACTAATGCCAATGGCTCATAGGAGGATGAGTGGCAGGAGTAATGCCAATAGCTAATACTTATTATGAAGTACTTACTATGTATCATGCAGCCTATTTAGTGATTTACAAATAGTAACCCCTTTTATCCTCACAACACCCCTATGGGGTAGGTGATATTATTATCCACACTTTATAGACGAGGAAACCAAGACCCAGAGAAGTCACACAACTTGCCCAAGATCACGCAGCTAGCAAGTGGCAGAGGAAGGATTTGAACCTGGCTAGTCAGACTACAAAGCCCCTGTAACCTGATGACTACTATTCATTCCAATTCAACAGACCTTCGACTGTGGCCATAAACATTTCTAAGATATGACTATTTTTAATCTACAAAATGGCAATTTCATATAGTTCAAACCACACATACCAAGAATCCTGAGCTAAATTCTGTACGTAACAAGCACAACAAGATGGCTGGGATAATGTAATTCATTTTCTTCTTTTTCTTAGCATAGCACCTTCACACATTAGGTATCATACGATGAGAATTGATTGTGGAGTAGGACAAACTTTGATTCAGATCTGGGCTCTGTTACTTACTGACCATGTGATTTTATGTACAAGTTATTTCTCTTCTTTGAACTTCAGTTGAACTTCTTCTCTGTTATCTATAAAATATGGGATATTACTTCTTACATCACAAGGTGGCTGTAAGGATAAAATGAAATAATGTGTTCAAAAGTATCTAGAGCACAATACATATTATGGATAGGAAAGGGAGACACACTGCACCCAACATCCAGTAACTTACAGTCAGGAGGAAGGAACAAAGTTATTTGTAAATAATTCTTACACGATGCACAGCTGGCCAACCGGAAGATGGCCCACCAGAAATTAAATTTGGGTTCTTCTCTCACTTGACAGAAGTTGCCAGCTGCTTCTGGTGTGTGCGTCAGTGGACAAATGCACGGAAACAGACCTCCCGGGAAGAACTGATGGAGGTGCTAGTGGAGGGTGAGTGGTCCCCTCATCCCAGGAGAAGTGTGTAAAATAAGCCTTTATTTCCTGAGTGACTGAGGCAAAACCACCTCAGCTCTAGGTATAACCGGTAGCCTAAGGAGTCCAGGGTTTCCTGGGAGGGAAAGCAGTGATATTCCAATCAGAAACATTAGTAAACCGAGGGTAGCACTGCAATTCAATTGATGTATATCAAGAAAGGCAGGGTCAGCAGGCTAGAGAGGAAAAACGATGGCAGTCTGGTGGGTCCAAAACATTTCTCCTTAAATTATGCTATAATACTATATAAACAAAAATTGCTACAAGTAAGATTTGCCCTCAAAATTATCCTCAGAAAAGAGTCACTTATAAGAAAAGTTTCTTATATTTCAGGGCATATACTCAATTACGTAATTGTGAACAACAACCTTTTCTCCTCTTTGTTGAAAAGAGCATTAGCCTGATATAACCTCCATTAATTCTAGTTTTAGGCACATATGAGTCATCTGATGGAATGAGAGCTGGAGGGAGATTAAATAAAATTTACCAATTGATCCAGGGAGGAATGGCTTCATAATAGCATGTCTTCAGTATTGTTTCAAGTAAGCCTTTGAAAGATCACTTAGAGGCCCGGCACAGTGGCTCACGCCCGTAATTTCAGCACTTTGGGAGGCCGAGGCAGGCAGATCACTTGAGGTCAGGAGTTTGAGACTAGCCTGGCCAACATGGCAAAACCCTGCCTCTATCAAAAATACAAAAATTAGTTGGGCTTGGTGGCGTACACTTGTAGTCCCAGCTACTTGGGAGGCTGAGGCAGGAGAATTGCTTAAACCTGAGAGGTGGAGGCTGCAGTGAGCCCAAATCACACCACTGCCCTCCAGCCTGGGTGACAGAGCAGGACTCTATCTCAAAAAAAAAAAAAAAAAATTACTTAGTAGAGTGATACAGAATGTGGTTCCACCGTGAAAATCAAGAATATCAAGATTATGCATTGTGTTACTCTATGATCAAGATTATGCATTGTGTTACTCTATGATCAAGATTATGCATTGTGTTACTCTTTTTTCATGGTGGTTGTAACAAATTACTTCAAATGCAATGGCTTAAAACAACTCTGACTTATTAGCCCCCCAGTTCTGGAGCTTAGAAGTCCAAAAAGCGTCTCACTGGGCTAAAATCAAGGTGTCCAGAGGGCGGTGTTCCCTCTGAAGTTTCTATGGAAGAATCCCTTATCTTGCCTTTTCCAGCTCCTGCAGGCTGCACGCCTGACTCACGGCTGTCTCTTCCATCTTGAGAGTAGGTTGGGTCATTCTCGTATCACATTACTGTGACCTACCCTTCTGCAGTCTCTTCCACATTTAAGAACCCCTGTGATTATATTAGATGTTCCTGGATGATCCAGGATAATCTCCATATTTTAGGGTCAGCTGATTAGCAATCTTAATTCCGTCTGCCACCTTAATTCCCCTATGCTATGTAACCTAACATATTCACAGGTTCTGGGGATTAGCACGTGGACATCTTTGGGGGTTCATTATTTTTCCTACCACGTGCACCTATAAGATTAAAAAAATAAAAATGAAAGGACCTCTCCTAACATAATGAGAATGGCTAGTTGAGGTCTGGGATAAATACCCTCTGACAATGCAATGTGTCAAGCAACACATATTACCAGGAAGTTAATCTACTTGGAAAATTCTTAGATGACTCAAAAGTCATTTGTTAGAAATTGACTCTGATGATCAAGAAATATAAAAATTTGGATAAAATTGTTGCATAAATGAGAGATGAGAAAAAGCAATATTTAAAAAACAGTATGAGTAGTTCATTAAATATGTTAAGCAGATATTTGACTATTTTTGCTATACCCCTAAGGGTTATATATTTGAGTTAGTCAAAACACTTATTTTTTAGGTATTTTTATTTAAAAGCAGGATCCTCTGGTATTGGGATCACCTTATATTTGAGCATATGATAAACATTTCTTTATTATAAAATTAATATAAGATCTAAATAAAAATTCAAATGGTCAGGGGGTACATAGCTCCTTCTTGTCTTTCAGGCATCAGCTCAAAACCTCTTCTTCAGTGAGACTTTTCCTATGCCCATGTACTCTCTATCAAATAATGTCAGCTCAGGCTGCCATAACAAAATACCACAGCCTTATGGCTCACCCAACAGGAACTTATTTTCTAACAGTTCTGGAGGCTGCAAAGTCCAAGATCAAGGTGCTGGCTAACTGGGATCCTTGGTGAAGGTTCTCGTCCTGGCTTGTAGATGACTGCCTTTTTGTGGTGTCCTTAAAAGCCAGAGAAAAAGAGCAAGCTCTTTTGTGTCTCTTCTTATAAGGGCACTAATCCCATCACAAGGGCCCTCATCTAACTCTGATCACCTCCCAAAGGCCCAGTCTCCAAATATCATCACAGTGGGGATTAGGGCTTCAACATAGAACCTTGGGGGGCTACAGTTCAGTCTCTTGGGCTTGGTGCACTGTTCCAGTTCTCATAAACTTATTACTTAAACTATTACTGAATATGTAGTATTACATAAACTTATTACTAGTTGAAATTAGCATCTATTTAATTGCTTGCTAATGGCACACATCCCACTATTAGAACATAAACTCCACCAGAGAAGACCATGTCAGTCTTTCTCAATAGCCCCGGTCTTTGAGCCTCTATGAGCTGTCCCAGAATGGCACCAGCCCTTGAAACAAACTAGTGATTGATTTTACTGACCTATTTGCCAAGAAGACTATCTCACAATGTCTTGACTACTTATAGACTTTGCCGTGCTTTCTCCACAACAGAGTAGAAGGAATTATACCAGGATTGATTAGATGTGGAGAGGACCCAATGATGGATACATTCAAGGACCAGCAGTGCTCTTCAGAGCTGCGTTGCTCAACTTTACAAAGTGAAGACATTTATGTGGCTTATGCCTCAAGGCACTGCTCATCTGGCCAGTCAAGTGAAAAATGAATGGTGAGGATCTTTCCCTGGCTGCAAGCCCGTATGTTGATGATGAAACAAAGGCTCCGAGAGGATGAGTGACGAGCTTGAGATCTCAGCTCTAGGGACAGAAGGAATTGGGGTTAGAATCCAGGTTCCCTGGCTCCCACTGAAGAGCATCCTCATGACAGCCCCACTGCCTCTTCCTGTTTTAGTTGAAAAGCCATCTAAAGCCAGCCTCTGCTCAGATGCAGGCTCCAGTAGTTTGGTGTCAAAGGCCATCCTTTGCCATTTGCCCAGAGGGAAATGGAACAGAAAAAAGTTCCAAATGTGTTCCCTAGTGTGCTGTGTCTACTCATCGCCTGCGTGGCTTGGCAGAGGCAGCCTGTGTTTGGGGCTGAGAAGACCTTGTTCCCTTTAGTAGTTGTGAACATGAGGTTATGGCAAGAAAAACCTAACCAAGGAAGGAGGAGAGGAGTGACTAGAACTAGGATCATCAATCCAGCTGGTTCATAGGGTTCATTGGGAATCCACCCTCACTCTGAAGGTCTTCTTCAATCAATTTCCACCATTTCTGTTGAAAACACAGACACACTACTAATGTATTCATTAGAGAATACACTTTTTAAAATTGGCAAGTAAGCAAATGGTGAGCAGGCTGCATTCAGTATCAATTTGTTTTCAGAGAGTAAAGCAGGCGAAAGACAACTTCCTCATGAGCGCTCTTCTCACTTGAAATGCACACTGAGAAAGGAATGAAGCGCGGATTTAATCCAAGGCTTGGGTCATGTGTCGGGGCTCTGGGACGGCAGCACTGCCAAAGTGCCTTCAGATAAACAGAGACTGTGTCTGAAAAGCCTCCGTGGCCTTTTGCAGTCAGGCACAGTCATGTAAGATTCCTGAGGCCTCTGGCAGGCTCCATGGTGGAAACACCAGCAGGATTGGCTCAAGCCTGAGTCTGGGAAGAGCCGGGCATTGAGGTCACACTCCTCCTACTGTCCCTGCACATGTGGGGAGGCAGAGCTCCCCTGCTGGGTGAGAACACTGCTCCTGGCTGCAGGGGCCATGGAGCACCCCACTTAGTGCTGACAGCACCCTACATCCCACATCCACTCACTCTCCACCAAGGACTTCCATGGCCACCCCACTGTGTACAGAGATATAAGAAAAAAATGGTGATACCAGTTGGAATGGTGATCATTAAAAAGTCAGGAAACAGGTTCTGGAGAGGATGTGGAGAAATAGGAACACTTTTACACTGTTGGTGGGACTGTAAACTAGTTCAACCATTGTGGAAGACAGTGTGGCAATTCCTCAAGGATCTAGAACTAGAAATACCATTTGACCCAGCCATCCCATTACTGGGGATATACCCAAAGGATTATAAATCATGCTGCTATAAAGATACATGCACACGTATGTTTATTGCGGCACTATTCACAATAGCAAAGACTTGGAACCAACCCAAATGTCCATCAATGATAGACTGGATTAAGAAAATGTGGCACATATACACCATGGAATACTATGCAGCCATAAAAAAGGATGAGTTCATGTCCTTTGTAGAGACATGGATGAAGCTGGAAACCATCATTCTAAGCAAACTGTCACAAGAACAGAAAACCAAATACCGCATGTTCTCACTCATAGGTGGGAATTGAACAATGAGAACACTTGGACACAGGGTGGGGAACATCACACACCTTTGCCTGTCATGGGTTGGGGGATTATGGAAGGGATAGCATTAGGAGAAATACCTAATGTAAATAATGAGTTAATGGATGCAGCAAACCAACATGGCACATGTATACATATGTAACAAACCTGTACGTTGTACACATGTACCCTAGAACTTAAAGTATAATTTAAAAAAAAGAAAAGAAAAGAAAAAAAGGTGATAGAGGTGGTGGAGGAGAGTAGAGAAGGAGGCAAAAGGAAAGCACAGTGAGTGCGTTTGGGGAGGGAGATTGGGAGTGAATGCAAAAAAGTGGAGCACATGGCATTGGTTGCTTAGTGAGCCAGATTGCATCATTGGCCCCACATCGTTACTTTTCTTTTTGTTTTCTTTGAGAGACAGAGTCTCACTGTGTCACCCAAGCTAGAGTGTAGAGATGATCATAGCTCACTGCAGCCTCCACTTCCTGGGCTCAGGCGATCCTCCCACTTCAGCCTCCTGAGTAGCCTGGACTAGGAGAGCACACCACCACATCCAGATACTTTTCCTATTTTTTGTAGAGACAGGGTTTCACCGTGTAGCTCAGGCTAGTCTCAAACTTCTGGGCTCAAGCAATCCTTCTGCCTTGGGCTCCCAAAGTGTTGGGAATACAGGCATGAGCCACTATGCGGGGCCACATCCTCACTTTTCCTTGGACCCACACTCTGTGTCAGGTGACTTTGCAGCTCCTTCCACTACTAGGTTTCTCCAGCCCTGACTTCAGGTTTGGCCATATGACTAGCTTTGGCTGATAGAATGAGACAGCAGGTGACAGTGTCCTGGTCATCAGTCTAGACGGTAGGAGGCCCTGCATGATCCTGCTTGCATTCCTGTGTCTGGGCCTTTGCTATGAGAAGAGCATTCCTCAGTAGCCTGCTGATCCAGAAGGAGGAGGGACTCGTGGAGCAGAGCCTAGCTCCGTGTGGACGTCCTGGTGATCTATAGTTTCTGAACAAACTCAACTGAGAGCAGCAGAACTATCTGATGAGCTCAGTGGGATCAGCTGACCTCTATGTCCCAGAGAAACAATAAATGGGTGCTGTTTTAAACCACTGAATTTTGGAGGTTTGTTGCATGTTGATAGTGTGAGAGTTGCAGATAGTAGGATGAAATCACTTTTGTCAGACTCAGGCAAAATAGAGCTGGGAAGGCCAGACGGAGAGGAGGCTCATGCTTATGTGTCTGGGGTAAGAACTACTTCCAGGGACTTTCTAAAAACCTCTGGAGTCCTTCATGCATCTCCTGCTTTGATAAGGTTCATCATCAGACCTTCTTTAGAACTGCGCTAATTCACATAACATGTTCTTGAAAGAACAGTTGCCTGGTGATGACATCTCCACCAACGAACTGACAAGAACTCTGGCTTCAAACCTCTGGAACCGATGAACTCTGTTTCCAAGCAGCTTGGGTAAATCTGTTGTTTGCTAATAAAAGTCCCCTTACCCTTCCCTCACTGAATGCATTGGTGGCTTGCCATTTCATGCATTCCAGATTATAATCTTATTTCTATTCCTGAGTTAACCCAGCATATTTAGAGATAATTTTTTCTGGTGTCTTTTTTGTGTAGTTAACTGATATACTTGCCTAACAGCCATACACCTTTCGTCCTTGTTACATAATCCTGCTCTTTTAATGATGGCAGTGTTACCATTTGCCACATAATTTCTCTTTTAGGCTTTTTTTTTTTTTTTTCCAGCTAGGGATGACCACAGGATCTAGTTTTGGCCAAGCAGACGTAAAAGGAAATCTTATTTCTGGAAAAGATTTTCCAGAATTTTTTTTTGTATAGTTAACTGATATACTTGCCTAACAGCCACACACCTTTCTTCCTTGTGACATAATCCTGTTTTTTTAATGATGGCAACGTTACCATTTGCCGGATAATTTCTCTCTCGGGCTTTCTTGCAGCTAGGGATGACCACAGGATCTGGTTTTGGCCAAGGAGACATAAAAGGAAATCTTATTTCTGGAAAAGATTTTCCTCCCTGGTCCAATAGCAAAGTCCTTTTCTGTCTGTCCCTTTCTTTTCTGCTTGGGCATTGGCGTGACTACATAATGCCTGGAACTGCGGAAGCCATCCGGTCACCATGAAGTCACAGGTTCAAGGATGAAGGATTTGCACACTGCGGGTGCCCAGACAGAAGGATGAGAAAAGCCTGGGTTCTTGATCACATCGCTGAGCAGCAGACAAACCCTGGGGCCACCTACATCCAGCCTCTCATGTGGGAAACAGGAATTATCTTTATGGTTTTAACTACTGTCTGTTAGATTTTCTGTTGTGGCAGAAAAAGGAATTCTTCAGTGGCAAGGGACATGATGAAGGTGGAGGAGAGAGTGTGGGTGATAAGTTAGGATGTGTGTCATAGGGCAGTGAAATGAACGTTGTACTAAGAATTAGGAGACCTTTTCCTATTTAGTAGAGTGACCCTGAGTAATTCGCACAACTCTCTTGGCTGCAACGTCCTCTTCTGAGAGAAGAAGGCATGTACCTGGATGATCTCTAAGGTTTTTACAGTTCTAACATTGATTCTGAACCTACTACAGCAAGGGCTCCGGGTGCCATAGCTGGGCAAACATTCACAGAGGATTTTGGAGAACTATTAATTATGTTCAAGGAAAAGATTGAGAATAGTGGTTTTACAGCAAATGCTTAGCTCTGGGCTTGCAGATAATGAGTTTCTTTTTCATTTTTGACTTTGTGCCTCATGTAAGTGTTACCTGCTCTAGGGTACTTCCATGAGAGTGCTCATTAGAGGCTTCATTTACAAAAAACGATTTGCATGCAAGGGGCAAATGCTTCCTCTTCAGCAGCAGGTGTTGTGGGATGGAGAGAAACATGCTGGCTAATGCCTTGTCATTCAAATTCACAGAAATTTCTGGTATCCTGGGCAGGTTGAATACCATTCTAGGGAGAGAACGAAGGGAACACATCTGAATAAATTAGTCTATTTAGTTTTTGGTTCTGCAGAATAGAGCCTTGGCAGGATCCCAGAGAAGCATCAGCAGGGGGAAAAATCACGTTATTTTCTGTTCTAGCCAACAGCATTTTCCTGCCCGGACTGTGCAAAATGAACTTGCTTAGCTTTGCAGCCTTCTCCAGCTGCTGTTGTTTCTCTCTGGCCTTCTGGTCACATAAGGCCCTGGCTCAGTTAGGTTTATTCCATGCTATCATTTTTCTCCCACACCATTTTTCTTTCATCTCTCTTTGCACTTCACCACAATGATATTCATTAAGCTCTTTTTCTTCCCTTTCCTCCTACCTTCTATTCTCTCTTCTTTATCATCCCCCGCCCCTTCTCCATCATCTGCTATGTTGTGAAAGCATTCTTTGACATTTCCACATCAATATTCCTAAAATCTACCAAGAATTCTGGGGAACACAATTGCTCAGAGGGGATCACAATTGTCTAATGTAGTCATACAAAAGTATTTTTTACCAGCTACTATTTGCT